TTTACTATGAATCTTCGTTGTGATTCCCTGAGTTTAGTCTTAGCATTATTAATTTTTGTGAATTTTATTTGAGTTACTAACAATGTGAAATAGCAAAATATGTTAAATTCTCTTTTATCTTTTGTAGTTAAATATATTAAATGCAAGCCTCCGCAATTAATATATATAAAGTCACAACTGTTCAACTTATTAAATAATAAATTGTAACCTTTATATTTTAAAATGCAAGCTTCGCAGTTAATGTGTATTAAAATAGTAAAGCAATTACAGCTAAATTTATTAACATAGTAAATCGCCACTGCTATCAATTATATTTAATATTATGTGATTAATAATCATGTGACTGAATCAGATATCTTATATTGGGATGGAGTCGGGCCTTAATACAAATGAATATTATGTAATAAATGTCAGTACCCTTAATAAAAAGACTTATATATAAAGATCAGAATACTGGAAAATTATCAGAAATTTCCTAGAAATTTATGGGAATCCCAGTAAATATTTAGAAATATACACTTTTTATAATAACAAATACATGTTTATTATATATAGGTATTAAGATCTAACAATTCTATTTCTAGGAGTTCATTAACATAATGTAATACATATTATAAAACAAAATAAAATATATAAATAATATATTCATTTGTAATTAATGCAAATTAATAAATAATCTAACTCTAATAAACTGAATCCTAATTTTAATCGAAATCTAAATTTAAACCCAAACCCTAACTCTAACCCTAAATACTAATATTAATCCTAATCAATTATAATTTATCCTTAATTTCAATCTGATCCAACCTTTGATTTAATAAATAGTTTGCAATAAATGATATGATATATGATTATTAGAATTTTACCACTACATGGTAACATTTTAATTAACCATATAATATTTTTTTTGCAAACTGTAAAGTAATCATTAAAATTATTAATATTTTTTAAATATTTTTATTTTTATTATTTTAATGATAAAATCAGTAATTTTTATTTTTTAATTTGTATTTTTTTAATTTATTATGTATTTATAGCCTGTTATTTATTTAATTATTTGCAGTCTAAATTTTTATTTATTTATTTTTGATTAACTATTTTTTTAAAAAATTTAATGCTTATTTCAGAATTTTTTACAGAATTTATATTTGAAGGTTTTTAATTTGTTTTTTTTTTAATATTTTTTTTTAATTAACCTGTTAATATTAATAATTTATATTTTTTAATTTATAAACTGGTAAGATTTCATTTAAATAAAATTTATTATTTAAAACTTATTAAAATATAAATAAGCTTCATTATGTTGTTTTTAATAAATTAGAAAAAAATGATAGTCGTATAAGTTATATTTATTATATTAGATATATTTATCATATTAGTTTATCTTATATAAATAGTATGTATTTTCTCTTAAGTTGAAGAATAACTTGAAATAGGGTTTTGTAAATAAACCAAGAATTCAATAAGGATATTTTGTTATTTATTTGCTATTACCTTTGCCATGTCTTTATACAGGCATGATTGTGATAAAGTTATTGTGCTTAATTCGAAGGACTAAATTAAATTGACTAAGTATAATTTCTAGCCTTCTGGCTAATACCAGTTACAAATCCACTTCCACTCTGACAATTTGTTTAAAAAAAAAAATAAGATATTAAAAAAAACCCCATTCCAAAAATTAAAAAATGGCAAATAAATATAACTCCCATCCAGCAATAACTAAAAAAAAATAAAAATGAAGTCTTAAAATAAAAAAGCAAGAAATAATTAATGAATTCAAAAATTTATAAAAATAAGTTAGGATTTAAACGTGTTTTTTAGTTGTTAAAGATTTAATTTTACTAAATAATCTAATATCCAGTGACCAGATAATAATAAAGAAAAGAAACTTCTCAAGAATAACAAATGATCGATTCATAAAGTAACGAAAAGTTAATTTTGACGACGTAATATAAAGAGCGGGGCTGTAATAATAAAAAAAGATAGTAAATTTAAAAGTTTGAATTTTTAGGCAAAAAAATTTAAAATAGACAATTTCTTAAGAACGAAACAAGGTTAAACATAAGAAATTGGAAATTTTAGCAACATCATACCTCCTCCTAAATAAACGATTAAAAATAACAATATTGCGAATATTACTGTTATTACGACATTTATTAGTCGTAACTTATTGTAAATTTCGCTTTTTCTTCTATCCCCAGCATCCATTCATGTAAGGACCTTTTTGTTAGATGCTGGGGAGGTTGCGGGCGAGGACGGCGAAGACGGATGGGAAATTGTGCGAAATTGTTAAAAAAAAATTATATTGATGGTTTTAATTGTTCTTCTATAAAAAATGTAACATTTAACTTGTTAAAAGAAAAGTTCAAACTTTATTAAAAACATGTAAATTGTATATACATACATACTGTAAAGAATTAATATGGTCTTCCGTCCTCAGCATCCTTTCATGTAAGAACCTTTTTGTTAGATGCTGAGGAGGTTGAGGGCGAGGTCGGTAAAGGAGGATGGGTACTTGCGCGAAATTGTTAAGAAACAAGTTTGAAGTTATTGTTCATCTATAAAAAAAATGTAACGTTTAATAGTAGGGACATGTTAAAACGACTTGTTAAAAGCTCAAACTTTGTTAAAAACATGTAAAGTTATATACATACTGTAAAGAAAAACTAAATAGTAGTTGATTTTTATATTAACATGATCTTCCACCCTCAGCATCCTTTCATGCAAGGAACGTTTTGTAGGGTGAAGGCGAGGACGAGGGCGGAAGAATACTTGGGCAAGATAAATAATTTATTTGATAATTTCTAAAAAAGAAATGTAACTTATCTCTTGATGTAAAATATTTCACCAATATTTATACGTTATGCGCCATACTTTTTTTTTCAGGAGATATATTCGGTAAAAAAGCGTGTAATAATATCAATTTTATGCATGCAAATTACTAAAAAGGCTATCATAAATAAAAAGATAAAATAATAAAAAATCAACTCGTGTTTAAAAAAAAAAAATTCCCAAGGAGGTTTCATCATAAATAAAAACGGGGGTGATATTATAAAGTTATGAAATCTGTATAAAAAAAAATTCTGGAGAATATTCGCGATCCTAAATTGTCTGTATAACAATTTCTTTACAGGGAGATTTGGCTAATAGTTTATATTTACGTAAAATTTGCATGATCCATCTAAACATTGCACAAGTTGAATTTGGTTTGTCAAGTTAAGCTCGACTCGAACCAATTAAAACCTTATTAATTTGTCACGTTCCCCGTTTACTAATCAATTTTAGCGCAGTCAAAGGTCGAGGGTAACACTATATCGCACATGTTATATTTATTGAGAAAAAGAATATGAATGAAAAATTATTGAATGATCAATGGCTCCGATATTAATAAGTAAAATAATACTAAAATAATAATAAAAGGTCTAGAAAGTTTCCCATCTTTTTATAAAGACTCCAAAACCTATAAATAATAAATTAACTTTATATTTCTAAAAGAATACTTCCTTCTTTTTCACTTAAGACGTACAATATCCAATGGATACAGTATTTTTTTTAAAATAAAATAATAATAATAATAAAACATAAATGATACACTTCCTTGAATTTACAAAGAGCGGAATAAATTTTAAGTAAATAAAATAATTAAATAAACAGAACCTAATTAATTCTTTAGGACTGACTGCCTGCGCTTGATCAACGTTAAATGATAGATCTACGAGTAGGAAATTTTCTTTTATAATTCAAAGGATACGACCTCAAGTAAAATGTCTTCCGCTATGCTTCGGACAATAAGTTCTATTTTGCTTGATTGAAGAAAATTTTGTATGACTTTACTGTCTTATTGGAACCTTTCGTGCTTGGTCGTTAAAGTTGTTTCAAGAACTCCATGAACGATTTTATCAGTGACAGAATCGACCGATAGGAAAATTGGAACGAGACCGTATAACTTTTTTCCTTACTTTAGTTTGTTAATCTCGAGAATCTTACTTGAGATCCTTTTGCATGTAACAATAACTTAATCTTTTCATATTATGCAAAGAAAAATTTTTTATTAAATAGTTTGTAAAATTTAATGAAAAATTATCCTTAAAATTAAAATTTTTTTCTAGTGATAATGCACAATATTACATCATATTTGTATGTTAATGATCAAGCTCATAATATAAATTTTGAACTTTCTCAAAATAAATTTCATTAATTATATTGAGAAGCCGCTATAGAAAAATAAAAAGTTTTCAATTTTATGCAAAAATTAAAATACTGTAATTTGCAAGTTTAACGTAAGAATATCATACCTTTTAAAAAGAACCAAAAAATAATACAAAGGATCACAAAGAATGAAATAATGCAGAATAACCCGTACCAATAGTCACTTCTGTTCATTAAGTTTTCAACTCTATCCATATCATCTTGTATGGTTTTTAAGGTCACCATCGGTTGTTCAGCATTCTCTCCCGCAGGGGGAATAGGATTTCGGCGGGTAACATTTAATTGATTTACGTTCATCTAAAAAAAAGTGTAAAGTTATTGGTTGAGACTTGTTATGTTATAACGACTTTTCAAGATTTAAAATATACGCAGGAATGTTAGTATTCATACTTTGATTATTTTGTTTAATAAATGTAAAGTGATTTTAAGAAAATACAAGGTTGATATAAAAAATAATAATGCGAGTAAGGTAGATATTTATATAGGCTTTTACTCACGTCATTTACGTCATATATAATTTAGTACGTCACAATTATATATAATTTATATGATTATGTACTACTGATCATATGATTTTCTATATCTCGTGACATAATTGTCCCCATATTACTACTATGTTGAATTCAAATTTAATTCTGCATCACTATTATTATTTATATTTCTTACCATTATTTGATTTCAGATTTGATTTATTTAATCTTACGGCAGTATTTTACTACAAAATATAATATTTAATTCCAAAAAGGTTTTCATCTCTCTTTGGATTTGACCGATTCATCGTTCTCGGATTCTCGCACCAGTCCCAAAGTCGCTTCCGGCCCTAAATTTTTTTATTTTCTCATTTGCTAAAAAAAATGTTTATTATTTCAGACGAAACTGCTTTGTGAAAATTTTTATTATGATTTATTATAAACGTTTGAGGTATTATTTTAATATTTCAATTAATACTGAATTAAAATAGGATGAAAATTTGGCAAGCTCTAAAGGCTGCAAGCAGATATTTGGCTGTTAAAAATACCCAAGTCATTAATGTCATTATTTAAAAGCCTAAAAGTTCCTTAAATAGATATGAAATTCCCGCAATATTGTTATACTACAAAGTTCAAAAAATTTTTATTGATAAAGAATGAGAACTCCAATTATTTAGGGAAGGTTGTATATCGCATCACTTATGAAAAATGTAAGTTTAACGGTCGGTCAACGGTCGGTCAGAGGCCTTTGACCGACCGACCGGTTTTACTGACCGGTTGACCGGCCCATTTAATAATAATATAATTTAAAATTCTTTATTGATAATTTTATTTAAGCTTTAAATAATACTAACATGGCATTTGCTAAACTCCGATTTTGTATATATTTTACTTGGCTAACTTTCATATTTAAAGCATTATCGCGAACTTTTTTTAAAAAATAAATTAAAAATTTTTATTTATAAAAAATTACATAACTAAAATGATGGTTAATTAAAATGCAATGAATTCTTGGATTACTAATTAAAAAATGTTTGGTCAACCGGGTCGGTCAAAATCGGTCGTCAACCGGTTATGGTTATGACTGGTAATGACCGTAATCATTAGCATCCCTAGTTCAGGCTCAACATTTGACTAATTCATTAACTTAACTAGTTCCGTCTTAAGGCCTAAACTCAGTTTTGTTTCAAGCCCAAACATTCATTAGAAATCATTTATATAATGGGGTTGTATAAAGTTGATTTGTTCAATTACAAACTGAAAGTTTATGTTATTTACGTAATACATAGTTTCTCATTCTCTATAATCAGTGTTGAACAAATAATATGCATACTAATAGGTATATTAATATAAAATTGTTTTTGAACGTTTGATATTTCCTTTCAATCTTTGAATAAACTCCACATTATATTCACTTTCGCTATTGTTTTTTCCAACCGTAATGTTAATCCCGTCATTTTCATAAAATGTCTTTTTGATGTTTGCTAATTTTGAATTAAAGTCTTTTAGATCACTAAAGGTTATTTCAAGACTATGAGCCATCTTAGGACATGGCGATAACATCGTTTTTGCATTTGGTAGGGTCCTAAACCATTTAAATATCTTAAATTGGAAGTGTAATTCCTGGGTAATTGTAATACAAAATCCACGCATATCTTTCAACATATGCCATTGACCCGAATGTACTCCAGGGGCATAACCTCCCCTTTGTGAATTATCTTTTTTAAGGTTATTTTCAGTATATTGGTACGACCAACACTCTCCTTTACAATTATGATCTTTCTTTAACTTCCATTCATTTGACGAGAATCTTGCATTATCAACGTTCTTCATACTACCAGTGATATTATTCAATGCAAAGCTAGCACCTATTTCTCTACCCTTTGAAACTTCAACCTTTTGATTCAATTGCTCTGGCTGAGATTTATCTACTAACCTGAATGTATTTTCAGGTATTGAGGAAGATTGAACTTTAATAGCATGAAGGAAGTAACCAAAACCTTGATGTTTAAGTTTTAGACAATTATCACTAAGCGGTGTACCTATGCCACAACCATTTACATTAGTATTAAATCTAAGGCTCTCAATTGTCTTTTCATGAGTAATTTCTACCCAGAAATTAACATTAATGACAAATTCTTGAAAAGTCTCTGAATCCATAATAAAAGCTTTCATCGTAGAAGAAACAAAGATTCCGTCTTCTACACTATTATAATTACCATCACCATCACCATCACCAACACCACCACCACCATCACCATCACCATCACCATCACCATCATCATCACCATTACCATTACCATTACCATTACCGCCATCACCATCACCATCACCATCACCATCGCCATTATTACCGTCATCATTGCCACTACTATTACCACTATCGTTACTTTTATTACTCTTATCAGTATTGTTACCATCATTACCATTATATATTTTCCCACTATTGTTACTATTGCTACCATTATCATCATCATTACTTGATTCATATACAGGTAGCACTTGATATATAATTTCATACTGATCATCAAACATATTTTCAATACATTCTAAGACTGGATTATCAAGTGATTTAATGACCCAGCAAGAAATGCATGGCTTAGTAGAACTTTGATGAAAATCAATTCCTATAGAATATATCGGTTGCGATTTCAGTATACAATCAATATCACCTTTTCGACTAATAAGTAATTTTTCTAATTTTTCAACTTCGATATTTGAAATAGAAGAAATACCGGGAGTAATAGTAGCTTTTAATGTAATTAATTCTGGAATAGTATTACTGCCAACATTATTTCGAACTTTTGATTCACTAATATGATAATTAAAAGGATTATAATTGATAGTATTGTTTGTAATTTGATCTTCAGCTACCGATTTTATATTTAATATATAATAATTAATAAATGCTTTTGTTTTAAATAATATTAAGAAAAAACACATACCTAATAATTCATCATTTCCAATAAAAAATTTATTGTCTTCTCCAGATAATTTTTTGTACCATTCTAATGCTTTATCTTTATTACTTTCGATTCCTAACCCGTATCGATAAAAATTACCTAAATTATATTGTGCAATTTCATCACCGTTTTCTGCCGCTCGTTGATACCAATGAAAAGCTTTTTTTAAACTTCTTTGCGTTCCTATACCATTTTTATATAGAAATCCTAAATAACTTTGTGCATCAATATAGTCTTGTTTGGCTGATTTTTCAAAAAACTCAAATGCTTTATCTAAATCTTCTTTAACTCCCCATCCATTTTGATAAAACATACCAACATTAAATTGCGCAAATTTATTCCCATTTCCTGTAGCTTTTTTATAATAATCAAAAGCTTTTTTTAAATCTTTTTTTATTCCTATACCATTTTCATAACAAAATCCTAAATAATATTGAATATCACTATTATTTTGTTTAGCTAATTTTTTATATATTTTAATATTATTTTCTTCAACCTTAAATTCGTTTTGATAAAATAATATTAAATTATATTGTGCCAATTTATTACCATTTTTAGCTGATTTTTGGTACCAATAATAAGCCTTTTCTAAATCTTTTGGAATTCCTTTACCATTTTCATAAAAATAACCTATAATATTTTGTGCATCGCTATAATTTTGTTTGGCTGATTTATTATACCATTCAAATGCACTTTCTAAATTTTTTTCTACTCCCCATCCATTATGATAACAATTACCTAAATTATATTGTGCAACTTTACTTTCATTTGCTACTGATTTTTGATACCAATAAAATGATTTTTCTATATTAATTTCTACTCCTATTCCATATTGATAACAATTACCTAACTCATATTGTGCAGATTTATTTTCATTCTCTGCTGATTTTTGATACCAATAAAATGCTTTATTTAAATCTTTTCCAATTCCCCATCCATTCTGATAACAATTACCTAAATTATATTGTGCTTCTATATTATCATTTGCTTTTGAATTTTGATGCCAATAAAATGATTTTTTTAAGTTTTTTTCTATTCCCCATCCATTATAGTAACAATTTCCTAAATTTAATTGTGCCAATTTATTATCATTTTTTGCTGATTTTTGATACCATTTAAATGCTTTTTTTAAATCCTTTTCAACTCCAAATCCATTTTGATAACAATTACCTAACTCATATTGTGCATCTTCATTATTATTATCTGCTGATTTATGATACCATTTAAATGCTTTTACTAAATTTTTATTTATACCTAATTCATTTTGATAACAATTTCCTAAATTATATTGTGCAACATTATTACCATTTTCTGCTGATTTTTGATACCAATAAAATACTTTTTCTAAATCTTTTTCTACACCTAATCCATTCAGATAGCAATTACCTAAATTGTATTGTGCAATTTCATTATTGTTTTCTGCTGATTTTTGATACCAAAAAAATGCTTTTTCAAAATTTTTCTTAATTTCCCATCCATTATAATAACAATTTCCTAAATTACATTGTGCAACTTCATTATTATTATTTGCTGATTTTTGATACCAATATAATGCTATTTTTAAATTTTTTTCTATTCCCCATCCATTAAAATAACAATTACCTAAATTACATTGTGCAATTTCATTACCATTATTTGCTGATTTTAGATACCATTCAAATGCTTTTTCTAAATTTTTTTCTATTCCCCATCCATTTTGGTAACAATTTGCTAAATTATTTTGTGCTATTTCATTATCATTTTCTGCTAACTTTTGATAATAATAAAATGCTTTTACTAAATTTTTATTTACACCTAATCCATTTTGATAACAATTGCCTAACTCATTTTGTGCAACCTTATTTCCATTTTCTGCTGATTTTTGATACCAACTAAATGCTTTTTTTAAATCTTTTTCTATTCCCCATCCATTTTGATAACAATTTCCTAAGTTATATTGTGCAATTTCATTACCATTTTCCGCTGATTTTTGATACCAATATAATGCTTTTTCTAAATCTTTTTCTATTTTCCATCCATTCTGATAATAAATTCCTAAAATATTTTGTGCAACATTATTACCATTCTTTGCTGATTTTTGATACCAATAAAATGCTTTTTCTAAATCTTTTTCAATTTCCCATCCATTATAATAACAATTCCCTAAATTACATTGTGCAACTTCGTTATCATTTTCTGCAGATTTTTGATACCATTCAAATGCTTTTTCTGAATCTTTTTCTATTCCCCAACCATTTTGATAACAATTTGCTAAATTATTTTGTGCTATTTTATTACCATTTTCTGCTGATTTTTGATACCATTTAAATGCATTTCCTAAATTTATTTCAGTTCCCAATCCATTTTGATAACAATTTGCTAAATTATTTTGTGCAACTTCATTACAATTTTCTGCCGATTGTTGATACCAATAAAATGCTTTTTCTAGAATTTTTTCTGTTCCCCAACCATTTTGATAACAATTTGCTAAATTATTTTGCGCAATTTCATTACCATTCTCGGCTGATTTTTGATACCAATAAAATGCTTTTTCTAGATTTTTCTTTATTCCACATCCATTCTGATAACAATTGCCCACATTATATTGTGCAAGGTTATTTCCATTTTTTGCTGATTTTAGATACCCATAAAAAACAGTATCATGATGATTGAATTGTGTTAGTTCAAGCTGCGCATTACTATTTCCTTGCTTAGCTAATAATTCAATTTCTTTATTAACTTTAAATTTAAAAAATCAAAATGATTATTATTTAATTAAATTATAATAAATATAAAATAGAATATATAACTTACGTCCTATAAAATTATTAAAAAAAAATTAAGTTAAATGAAATAACATGAATAAAAATGACCATTACAATGAAATTATCAATTACTCACGCTCATCTATAATTATTAAAATTTAATACGAACAATATTTCATTATAAAAAAAAATTTAGTGTATAAATTACATAACTATAAATTTTATTAGGATTAATTTATGAACGATTTAATTACCTTTAAAATTAAGAGATTTCTTAGTACTAAAAATTGGTTCTAATACTGTATATAGAGATTTTATTTTTAGAATGTAATTTAAATGTATTAGTAATTGTAGAAAAATAAATTAATTCCTACCAAATTTGTCCCTTTTTTTACCTTTGTCTTTTTTATAAGACATTCTACTTAAAAATCGGTAAAATTGGGATAAATGTATAGAAATTTTATTTTTAAGCTTGAATTTAAAGGGAAGTGTTAAATGAACTTTTGTGGTAGATAAATTATTTCTCTTTTATATTTATCATTCATTTAAAATTTCCCTGGAAATTCTATTAGCTGTTGATCACAATTAAAAAATTGAATACGAGTATTCAGGGGTATCAAGATATTTTGTACTCGGATACAAAAAAATTTAAAAAAAATTTTAAATTATGTTATATTGAAATTAATCGTCACACGGATAAATCGGAATTTTCGTTTCGGTTTTAGACATTGCTGTTGTAGCCCAAATGCGTTAATGTCCGAAATGATCATTTCGGACATTAACGCATTTCGGGTACAACATTGCCAACAAAAACAACAAAAAATGTTATTTAATAAACCCTGATTAGATAAAGCGACAAAATGGTATTTTTTCTGGGAGCGTCAAATAGTTTCATTTCTGCGAAAAAAATCGTTTTACTGCGCTTAAAAATTTAAAATAAAAGCACATTATTTTTTTTTAAAAAGAATAAAATAAAATAAAATAAAAATAAAAATAAAATTCCCTTTTATATATCAAGCACTTTTCCAACGATGCATTTTATTTGATATTCAAAGTATTCTGTAAGAATAGGAATAGTCACATATGTAGCACATTTTTATTTCATATACTGCACCGATTCTTGGTCCAATTCCATTATCGTTTATAGGAAATTTACATCAATATTCTGGAGACATGTCAGAATTCTCTGAAACTTGTCAAAAAAAAATATGGAGATATTAGGGAATTCTACATTGGATAAAACAAGAGGAATCGGATTGGGTATCGCATTTATTGGTAAATTTTTATACAACAAACTTACAAGAATGCATTTTCGTTTTACGTACACCACCAAATGATGGATTAGTCGAATTTGATAGTAAGTCAAAGGGATTATTATACAATAGTAATCATGATACATACTATCGTAAATTATTTAATCATATCACCAAAATTCGTTAGGAAAGCTATATCATGGACGGAAGAAATATTTTAAAAAGTGGAAGATTATTGGATGAAACTTGGTGGAGATGATGGATTGAATTAGATTTGTTCCAATGGCTGCTTAGATTTTCATTTTCACATTACGACAAATAAAAAATCTTATGCATGTGCAAATTACTTCATAATACATCTCCAACAGAAACGATTAACGTGGGATGCTACCGTATTAAAGGAGTCTGAAGAATTTATTAAAAGGGTTTACAAGTATGCAATATTTCTTGTTAACACCAAAATGACTGTGATATTTCCCTGGGAGATTTAAACAGGCGATTATTGAAGGAACCGGATAATTTGACAAAAGCTTTATTACACTTGGTTACTCAACGAAGAGGAGAAATCAATAACACCCCTTTGGATGTGTCACTTATTCCTGACACGCTTACTATGTTCTTGACGGTAAACACCGACAGAGATCTTACTGAGCAAATTTCCAATGTAAATAATACGGAACCGATGTCTGATGAAGCCATCGTTGGTAACCTTATGGAAGCAGCTGCTGGAGGTATAGATGAAAACTTTGTGATATCAGTTATTGTATGACTCGTTACCCAGAAGCAAAGAAGCGACTTTTTGAAGAAATTGATTCAATTATTCCAACCAATCAAAAATTAATTTACGAAGATCTAAATAAACTACCTTACTGTGATTCAGTAATTAAAAAATCTCTCGATTTCTTCCAGTAGTAGATATTAATTACCGGATGAATACTAAAGATGAAATTTTAGATGGATACACCATTCTTGCCGAAACTCAATTCTTTATAACCAAAAGGGTATAAATAATCATACATCTAATTAGACTAATCCCGAAGAATCTGATCCTGATCTTTTTATTAATGGTCAAGATAAAAATTTATCATTCCAATTTGGAGGCGGTACAAGGACGTTTCCAATAAGTCATCAATTCTGTTCTCTTTTATCATTTATTATAAATTTAACATAGATTTTATGCAGGATGCATAAATTGCAGCATCCTATGTGTAATTTTGATGTGTATATGTATCAAAACTAATTATTTTTAGTTGATGTGTAATAAATATCCCATGCGTAGCATTTTTGATGTGCACTTGAATTTAGACTTTTCACATAATTACTCGTTTTGAAACCTTAGCTTCTCTCTTTCTTTCATCTCGCATTCTTTCTTTTCTCTCCTCTCATTTATATCTTTTCATGTTTGAAATAAAATGAGTTAAGATAAAAATATACTGAAAATAAAAATAATTTATATTAGAAAAAATTAGATAATAAATATAAAACCATATAATTTATTAAATATACCAGAGGATATGATCAGAAAGAAATTCATTTCATCGCAGGAAGAATACTCGGAGAATATCTATAAAGATATAAATAATTTAAAGAGATAAATTTTTTAGGAAGATATTTTTTAAAAAAATATATATAAAAATATTACTAATATTAAACAAAAATGATTGGTATAAGTAATAATGTTATAACAAATAAATTTTACAAAAGAACACGTTCATGCTAAAAAAATGGATTTCGATAATTAGAAGGAAGATCACAAATGGAATTGAACTTAACCCAAGGATCATAACCTTTCAACGGGATTGGAATTCTTCTAAGGATCACGAAATATTCTACCTCTGGCAACAAAGATTGGGTCTTCCAAGAATCATGACCACTAGAATGAGTTGATCCAAGGTCCACAACCTCTTGAAAGATCGAACTTCAACCAAGGATCACGACAACTTTACGAGATAATTACATTTCTTCCAAGGGTCACTACATTTGAGGATTTGAACTTTAACACCATTTGGTGAAAGTGATTGGCTTCTTCCAAGAACACTACTACTATTAAATGGGATTGATAAATTCTTCCAAGGGTTCTAAACATTTTGATGGGATCGTACTTCTTTGAAGGATCATGACCACATGTCCATTTGATTAATAGATAGAGAACACGACCATTTAACGGGACGGATCGAAGACCACGACCTCTTGCAATAGAATCAAGGATTCCGACTGAATCGGTTGATTTCGTCTAAGAATTACAACCATTTTCAACGGGATCGATAAATTTCTTCTAAGGATCACGACCACTTACAATGGGATCGAGATTTTTTACTTTTTGCAACGTATCAAAGTTAAGTCCAAGGTTCAAGACATTTTCAAACCTAATTCAAGAGTCACTTTAAATTTAAGAACGGACAATATCTATCATAGCAATAAAGTAATAAAAGAATTGAACTTAAAAAAACATTCCAATACTGACTACAACACTTTCAAAATATTTCGTTGTTTAATAAGATGAACGGATTTAAATCATCGTCGTTATTGTTGTTATCGTTGTTATCGTCAAAGACACTTGTAGAAAGCCACCATACATTTTCGCTGTTTTGTTGTTACTTGGCGACATTTAAAAAGCATATATATTTGGCAGCTAGTTCTATAGTTAAAAGATTGTTAATTAATAATTACCAGCTAAATATCGACCATAAAGCAAATAAACGTGTTTTATTAAAAAAAAATGTTTTAACATAATATTCGTTGGTAATCAGAAACGGTAAGGAGAATAAAAATAGATAATTAATCAATCAGTCATTATTGTTGTATTATCACGTGAATTATACAATTTAAAAGATTGAAAAATTAAATAATTATAACTTCTCATGAGTATTGTCGTTGTGGGATAGTGCGCGAGATTTCTTTGCCAGCTATTCTCGGGTACGATGCCCATAATGTGCAATATATTGAATGATTATAACTGCATCAAATTTCATTATCGAGGTGAACTATAAATAGTTCCATGGGAAATTTACCCCTTGTAAAAAAATCCGATGATCCATTGATTGACGTACCGGGATCGCTTACCAGATCACGAGATCCATGCTAGTGACGTTCCGGCGCATAAGGGGTACCCATGTTGAACTGGTTAGTTATCAACTTTGTGGGGTCTAGGTGGTAGTTGGCTTATCATCTATGTGCCCAAATTCCCAAAGCGCGGAGTAAGAGGTAACGCCAGTTCATGATCTCCGAGGCAAGATGTCAGCAATCATCAATGTCAACTCAAATATTTTTGTTTCTTTATATAAATAAATTCTTCTATTATAGGATCACGGTACTTTATTCAAATTCAATGGTCGTACTTAATTATATTTACAACAATTAAAATAAAATAAAAAATTTCAATGTTTATATGAGGCATTATTATTTGCTTTTTAAATATGTTATTCATTCGAAATTTATCTGAATAAAATTATTATTATGACTCTTTATCTTTTCTTATTATCTTAAAATAAATTCGCATCAAACCTAACAAAATTTTCTTAAAACCTTTTTTATTAAAACGTCGCAACTATTTAAATTTAGTTCACATTTTTTAGGCACGAATCCATTTATTAATAAGAAATATACTAGACCTTTATGATTTCTTCTGTGTTTTAACGAGAACCAACATTACTTTACTTATTTACTATTATTTTTTGAAAGCACAGGTGGAACCAGCATGACTGGACTGCTAAGAAATCGATGGATTAGTATGTCGAACAATCTTCTTGATGATATAATTCCTTAAATAATTGTTTCTGTTGCAGTGTTAATTTCATATGCCAAACTCTTGAAATCATTCAAGAAAAAATGCGGAAATTGCTAAAGCTCTCATGCAATTTTTGCTCGAGTTTTGAAATCATCATTACGTCCTAATAATGACTAAGCAAAAAATGAAAAAGCAAAAAATTTGGAGGTAGTGTTTAGCGAAAATCTAATTAGAGTTGAGTCGCCCCAACTTGAACAGTCTAAAGTTTTTTTAGATTATTCTCATTGGTTTTGTTTCTATCCACCAAAATGATGGTTTAGATGTAAATGTCTCTTCAAAATGGATTAGTATTTAATAAGAACTTTGGTACACATGCAATCAATGCGTGCTACTATGGCTTCAAAAGTTATTAAACAACGCCAAATGAAATTTTGAAGAGAAGGAACGTTATTGGATGGCACTTTATGGAAAGGGTTCCTCCAAGTTAGATTATTCTTTGGTGGATGATTGAACCTTTGCGGAAACTATCTTGTATAAAATAAAAAGTTTAGCATTGGCAAATTTTTCAATAAACTTACTTTAAAGGGAAGGTTGAGCCTGATTCTATTGTATTATTAGAATCCGAAGACAGATTTGAAGTTTTTATTACTAGGTTGATATATTTCTTAGCTTTAAATTGTTTTATAAAGCTTTACAACTGTCTATACAAAAAAAATTAAAAAAAAATTAACACGAATTTTGATTTTCAAAACATCTTGCAAAAAAATAATAAAATAAAATAAAAATTCAAGAATTAATATATTTATGAAAAATTGCATAACTTTATGAATATTTATTTAATATCAATATTTGTTAAATGATTAACCAAACAACTTTAATTAGTCTCTAAAGCCTTCTATATTTAATTAACTGCATTGCAAAAAAAATTTTTAAAAAATTGATATATTTTGAAAAAATTTAAAAACTTCGTAAAGACCAATAATATTTGATAATATAACATAATATTTTGCTTGAATATTATTAAAAAATAAATAATTTAAAAAGGCATAAAATATTTTTTAAAACACTTGAACCTTCTAAACAAAAGTGGTCCAAATTAAATGTTAGTATAAATTTTTTTTTAAAACAGCCTCAAGTTTTTGGATATAATGTATGCAACCGATTCATGAATATCTTATGAATATTTAGACAATCGTTCTTTGTTTTCCTTTAGAATTATAGAAATAGACTTATATTATTTTTATTAAATTAGAAAAATGAAATAAGGTGATATAATTAATCAAGTTATATTCCATTTAAGCAAATTTACTACAAATCGTTAATTCGCCCAATAGAATAATTATAAGACACTAAGTGCCGAAAATATACTGTAAATATTAATTATTTTTATAAGGATTTATGAAAAGTTATTTTATCCCTGAATTAGCAAATATTGTAATAACTTAATTCCATTTTAAAATATTCCTAGGAAATATTTGTTTAAAAAGGCACGATCTAAAAGATTTATCATAAAAAAAGTTATTTTTTATTTGAAATAATGTATATAGCATGAAATAAATTGCTATCAATTATTTGCACGGATGGCATCAAATCAAATAACGTTATCTCAAAAATAAAAAGGAAAATATGTGTGTATATTATAAATTAATCCTATTTAATTAGTTTAATGCACCACTAAAAAAAAAAATTTTTTTTTAAATATCTGCAATTACATAATAAAATGATAACAAAATAAAAAATAATAATAAACATACCTCATCAGTGCCACCAAGTCTTTCATTATGACAGACAACTTCTTGAAAAGTATCGTTATTAATAGTAAATTGAAAATCATGGCTACGTAAATATTCTTGTTGACTATATTGATTAGTAAAACTAAGATTAATAATATCATTCGATTTCAAATATCCTTGATAATTTTCTAATTTATTATGATTAAACTTCCATTGATTTTGTGAATAACAATTTACTAAATTAAATAAAATATCAATATTAACCCATTTTAAAATATTAGATAATAAAAAATAATGATTACCTTCCGTGTGCTGAGTTACCGGAGATTTATAGTAACCACAATAAATTCCAAGAAAGTTGCTAGAACTTTTGTGTTGTAAATATATATTAGTATCGGTATATGATGCTAATTCTTTACCGCTCGTAAATGTGATTTTCCATAAAGCATTCGAGTCATAATTACTAGCAAAAACCTAAATTTATTAAATAAATATAATTATAAATTTATCTAGCATAAAAATAAAGGATATTATATATAAAGAAGGAATACCAATTGTAAACCGCTTCCAGTTGTATAACGTAAATTATTAATTGAACCTAAATATTTTCCTGTAGCAACAAGTTTTAAACTTACAATAGAACCGTTTCTAATTAAAGATGACTCGTACATAACAATTTCCTCAAATTCTTTAATTAATTCATTAATAGAATTAATTTTTTGTATTCTCTTAGAATATTCAGTTATGAAATAATCATTTAGCAATGATTGATTAATATATTCCTTTTGTTCTTCAATATCATAATTTACGAAAATTCGAAATAAATTTTGAAGTTTCGCCGCCATCCTTTTCAGGAATACACGTTAATGATTGTAGTTTTCTTTTATTTGTATTTTTAAACACTGTAAAGGAAATATCTTCTTTAAGTGCATTACGAAGTTTTTCAAAATCATCAATTCCAGTTGGAAGTTTGATAATAGGATCTACTAACGATATAGCATATTCTAAATAATCAACTGCATCAAGTTTTTTTTTAAGATTGAAATAATTTTGAAAGTCATTTATCCATTCATCTGGATGAATATTCCCATCATATTTTGGAGGGCTCATTTTTTAATTAGTATGTTGCTTGAGGTAATTTTCAATTTTCGAGCCATTTATAGTTATAGAAACAATAAAAAACAGTATTCTATTGTAGTAGGATGATGATAATCACGTGCACAACCTTTATTTTCTTAAGATTTTAATTTATTTAATCTCTATGACCAAATATCTTGCTCATGTTACGCCATCCAGATTATCACTGATTATTCAGGTGTTTAACTACTATTAGGCATTAAATAAAACAATGTATATTGCATTGAATCTTTATTTTTCAGAAAAACGAAGTAAGTTTTCGATTAATTTTATCAAGTAATGTTATATTGAATTACAATGATTTTATTTTTGCTTTATCTTAAGGTTACCTGAGAAAACCGAGGTATCGACAAACGGCAAAAATTAAACATTTTTTTAAAGGCAATACCGCGAAAGTTTTGACGAGTGGCAAACAATTTAAATTTTCGACGCGTAGGACGCGTAGCAAAATCAATAAAAACCTTTGATAGTTCCCTTCGGGTACATTTTAATACAACTTATTGGGAATATGGAAAATTTTTTGAAATATTCTTTCTTGGGTCGAAACAATTCAACCAACATGTTGAAATTTGCAAATTTAGTTAAATTGAAATAATGAATCACATCGAAATCCGTTGAATTGTCTAAATTGTCGAAACCCGTCGAAAATACCAAAAAAAATATTTTTGAAAAGTTTCGACTTTTGCCAAAATGACATTAAGGGTCAACTCTAATAGAAAGTAAGACTTTGCCCGCAATATTACTTATATCTTGAAAATATTTGTACCAAATATTTGCTTTTGTTTATTTAAAAATAAAGAACTTATTAAAATTTAACTATCATGAATGTTTAATTTTAATAAAGAATGAATTAAACAGAATTCGAGTTGATTATGGTAAAAGGAAGATAAATATTCGAAATTTTAAATAATTTTACAAGACCGAATATATTAGATATTAGCTACCCAAGGGGAAGCTTTTAAATATTGTAAATCAAATTTACGATTTGGTTGATTCATTTATGGTTATGTCTCAATTATTTGTTTTGTTCTTGAATTACCAAATGTAGTAAGAAACTAAATTACGTTTTACAATTCTTTTACTTAGAAAATATTTCATTAAAATTGATCTTAATGGTTTAATTAAATTCCTTGGATCGTAGGGTTTCGCAGGCTAATTTGCCTGCTTATTTACTATAAATTCTCCTCGGATTTACTTTTTATAAATAATTAATATTTTTAAGAATTTTTTTAAAAAAAATTTAAAGTTACTTAGAAGCTAAAAATTTGTAATATTTAAAAATATTTATTTTAAAAAATCTCATTATTGATCGATGATAAACTTTTTAGAATTTACTTTTAATTATATTAATTATAATAGAATATTATAAAATTATTTATAAAAAAAATCTTTTATTATTATAATTTTTATAATTTATTAAGAAATTTTATGACTTTAATTAATGATAAAATGATTCAATTAGCACGCAAACATATAAATTTTAAAAAATTATTATAATAAATTTTTTGAAATTTAATTTTAAAATTAAGTTATTTTAAAAACCTTTTAAAAAACTTAAAATATTTGTTAATAAAGTTGATTTTTATATAGTAAATGATATTACTAAAATTAATATTTATCATTTTATAAAGAAAATAACACTTTTTTTTTAAATTTTACAGGTAAATTTGCCTGCTATACAGTCTAAAGATAAGTTTATAAGCATTAAAAAATTAATATCATTTATTTGCAGATAATATTTATTTTAAAATATGAATTATAAATAAATCCTATTTAATGAGTTTAATGCATCACTAAAAAATTAAAAAATCTTTTTTAAATATCTGCAATTACATAATAAAATGATAATAAAATAAAAAATAATAACAAATATGGCTCATTACTGCTGTCTAGTCTTTCCTTATGACAAATGATTTCTTGAAAAACATATTCTTAATAAAAAATTAAAATTATGACTATGTAAAAATACTTCTTAATCTTTAAGTTATTTATACTAAAATTAATAGTATCATTTAGTTTCAAACATCCTTGATAATTTTCTAATTTATTATTTTTAAACTTCTATTAAACATTTCAATATGAACTAGTATTATAATTTACTAAAGTAATTAAGATATTAATATTAACCATTTTGTAGAAAATAAAAAATATTAAGATAATAAATTCTAATTATTACCTTCTATATGTAAAGTTACTGAAGATTCATAATTATTATATAAAAAATATAAAAAATGACCATTATTATATAATAAAATTCCAAAAGTCTTACCAGAAATTTTGTGATGTAAGTACATATAATCTGTAATATATAATGCTAATTCTTTTCTACTTAGAATTTATTGACAAAAACCTAAATTTGAATAAAATTATTATATATAAAATTTACCAAACCTTATAATTAATAAAAAATACATACTAATTGAGTCTTACTTTCAGTTGTATAACATAAATTTTGAATTGAACTTAAATATTTCCTGTAGAAACGTGTTTAAGGCTATAATTGATTTATTTCTAATCAAATTTGATTCATCCATAACAATTTTCTCAAATTCTTTAATTAATATATTTATAGAATTGGTTTTTTCTTTTCTTTTAAAAAGTTCATCAAATAAATAATTATTTGATAGAAGTGATTAAATTATTTATTTCTTTTATTTCTAAATATTATTAATTTCAGCATTATAATATAATTAGCAAAAATTAGAAATAAATTTTGAGGTTTTGCCGCTTTCTCTCTTTGTAATATATCTTAATAATTGCAATTTCCTTTTATTTGTATTCTTAAATACTATATAGAAAATATTCTCTTTAAATATATTATAAAGTTTTTCAAAACTATCAATTCCACTTGGGGAGATTAATGGTAGCATTTATTAATGAAATTGCATAAGTAAAAAATTATGATATAAAATTTTAATATTATAATTAAAAGAATTGTGAATATCATTTATCTATTCATCTGGATGAATATTCTATTATATTTTGGATAGTTCATTTTTTTGAATTTTTTTAATAATGATAGAGTGATGGTTGATTTTAAAAATAAAATGTGAACATCAAATTTAAAAATAACAATTTTAAGTGTTTCACAAAAGAATAGAACTTCTATATTAATCAAAGATTTGCATATGTTTATTTTATAAACTTCAACAATCTTTCATTTTAACATTTATGATGAGTCATCTGCTAGTAGTGTTCTGCACAGATCAGATCAGATCAGATTTGGGCAAAATCTGATTCGATCTAAATCTGAAAAATTCGAATCTGATTCGATCCCAATCTAACAAATCTGAATCTAAATCTGTATTCTAATTTGACAAATCTGAATCTATCAAATCTGAATCCGTATCTGTATCTGATAGATCAAAATATTTTTTAACAAAAATTTGCCTCCGCCATTCGGAACGGTGTTTTAATGTTAAAAAAACAACAATTTGATGTTTTTTAACAAAAATTCCGCCTTTGACATTTAGAATGATGTTTAATATTAAAAATAACAATTTTGTTGTTTTTTTAACAAAAATTCACCTCTAACGTTCAAAATAGCGTTTTAATGTTAAAAAAACAACATTATTGTTTTTTTAACAAAAATCTGCCTCTGACGTTTGGATTGACATTTTATTATTAAAATTTAATTTTTTTAATAATAAATGCTGCGTCCGATTTTTGGGTAGCATTTTTATATAAAAATTAATTTTATTAGTTTTTTTATTAATAAATGCCGCGTCTGACTTTTGGGGCAGAATTTTATTATTAAACATTAATAAAAATTAATTTTTTTATTAATAAATGCCGCATTTGACTTTTAGGGTGGAATTTTATTATTAAACATTAATTTATTTAATAATAAATGCTGTGTCTAACTTTCAGGATAGCATTTTATTATTAAAGTTTATTTTTTTAATAATAAATACCACGTCGAATTTTCAGGACAGCATTTTGTAAAAATTAATTTTTTTATTAATAAATGTCACATCTGACTTTTGGGGCGGCATTTTATTATTAAGCATTAATTTTTTTAATAATAAATGCTGCCTCTGACTTTTGGGATAGCATTTTGTTATTAAAAATTAATAAAAATTAATTTTTTAATAATAAATGCCATGTCCAACTTTCGGTCGGCATTTTATTATAAAAATCAAATTTTTTAATAATAAATGCTATGTTCGACTTTCGGGCAGCATTTTATTATTAAAAATTAAATTTTTTTAATAATAAATGTCGCCTCCGACTTTTAGGACAGCATTTTGTTATAAAAATTAATTTTTTATTAATAAATGCTGCCTTTGACTTTTGGGGTGACATTTTAATATTAAAAATTATTAAAAATGAATTTTTTAATAATAAATGCCACATCTGACTTTTGGGATGGCATTTTATTATTAAGCATTAATTTTTTTAATAATAAATGTCACGTCCGTCTTTTGGGATGGCATTTTGTTATTAAAAATTAATAAAAATTAAATTTTTATTAATAAATGTCACCTCTGACTTTTGGGATGGCATTTTGTTATTAAAAATTAATAAAAATTAATTTTTAATAATAAATGCCGTGTCTGACTTTTGGGCGGCATTTTATTATTAAAAATTAAATTTTTTTGATAATAAATAATACGTCTGACTTTTGGGTAGCATTTTATTATTAAAAATTAAATTTTTTTAATAATAAATGCTGCATCTGACTTCAGAATGGCATTTTTTTATTTCAAATCCAACAAATCAGATCTAAATCCAAATCCAAATCTGTCAGATTGAATCAAATTCAAATCCAAATCTGATCTATATCCGACGGATTGAATCAAATCAAAATCTGAATCTGAATCTAATTCAAATCTGATAAATCTGATTCAATCCGATCTGTAAAATCTGGATCAGATTCAGATTGAATCAGATTTTTTGCAGAATACTATTTGCTAGTTAACTATTTGATATTAAATGTCACATAATAAGATTGACCAAACCATTGGATTTTT